CTATATACAATCCCGTCTAAATTGTGCAGACGAAATAATATTCTGTCGTCTTAGTTTAGTTGCCTTCTGTCTTAAACAGATTACGAATACTCTAAACACACTTTGTATGTGATTAATCCATTCTCAAACCTTTGATCATTTAACTTAATAGTCTAATGTTATGTCGCGTACACTAATTTTATCCACTATATAGACAACAGTATACATACTATACTTATCCTTCACTATAATTGCTAGATAAACAAAGACGACGAGTGTGCCACGGTCGGCTGTGGCTTCTGTGCGGCTAAGTAAAAACATTCGCAGCATCATAAAAGATGTATAATAAAAATTAAACATTTTAAAAATACTATAGATTCAAAGATATACGCCATGTTTAAGGATATTTGGAGATAAGATCTGTAGTTCTGATGCATGTGTGCTAGCTTTGTAGACTGACAGGTGCTGTTTATTTATTTATTGTTTTACGTATACGTTTAAATTTTTAGTATTACAAATTAATGCATTATTAATCAACTGAAGTAGGGCCGTAAGATTTATTATTCAAACCATATGCTTCTTTTTTTTTACTCAAACTTACACTTAATGATAGCGGCAGCCCACGGGGTGAAATGCTGTCTCCCCACCTATCAACGTCGGTCACCAAAACATATGTACACATTGTTAAAAAGGTGTCGCAAGATTAATCTAATGTAATTAACTCCACAAATGAAGTTTTCCTAAGCACTTGTTATCCCTTTGATGTCTTGTTAGAAAGTTTGAGATAAATCTGTTCGTCTGGACATATTTGATTAAGGGGGTCGCTTGCTCTTTTATTAGTTTGTGTAGTCAACAAAAACAACACTGAGTAGTCAATGGATCCAACTTTCTTACTTTCAGTATTCTTTAGGTTTATTTGTTTTATTTTATTTATAGATACTCAGTGTATCTATTTATTCATTTCTTGTATTGAGTAAGTTAGATTATTTTATTTATTTGAGAGATTGTCTGAACATCTTAGCACGGATTGTATGTTTTACATAAATAAATAAAAACACAGGAAAAGTCTGAAATCTATCTCTATACATCGTAGTTTAAAAAAACACACTTATTTCCTACATCATTTTAGTCAAGTAGATATTAAATCTATATTATTTTCAACACAATTATTTATTATTCCTGTATAATTGCACTCAAAAATAAGTTGTTTTTTTCTGCATTAGATCTAGTGTTTTGTTTACACTTGCCAATTCTCCGTATTTTTTTTTATTCAGTTAGATTTAATGTTGTTTTGAAATAAAGTGGGGTTTAATGGCTTACTTTTCCTGAACCAACCAGGCTATTGAAGACTGTGGGGGGTGCGGGGTGCGGGGGGGGGGGGTGCGGGGGGGGGGGGTGCGGGGGGGGGGGGGGTCGTCCCGGACCGCGGCTTTTCCATCTACTCTTCGTCTAATTCCATTAGTCAATGGATATTTTACTTGCAAGCCAACGTGTACATCGGATCTTGGTGTTTCTTCCCACCTCAATGCCTGACAAAGGGATACCACGCTGGAAAATCCCTAAGAACTTTCTCAGCCAACATTCGGATTTAACCCCGGGACCTCTTGATTATTGAGCTAACGTCTTACTGAGTTACCGCGGGTCCCCTGTGAAATTATACAATACAATACTATGGTGACGTGAGTGTATTACGTCCTTTTTCGCGGAACACGGAAATAAGTAGGGTTTTAAGGACTCTTTCACATTCGGATCACTGCTTACCATTGGCAGAAAGAAGAGCAATGCATATATATTGATTTCTGTTTTCATAATTCAAACGGAAGCCATGGCATACACACTGTTACACGTTTGATACATAGCGTAATATACAAACACATGTAATACACATACACATGTAAAACACATACACATGTAAAACACATACACATGTAATACAAATGTAATGCACATACACATATATGTAATACACATGTATATATGTAATACACATGCATATATGTAATACACATGTATGCATATATGTAATACACATGTATGCATATATGTAATACACATGTATGCATATATGTAATACACTTGCATATATGTAATACACTTGCATATATGTAATTACACATGCATATATGTTATACACATGCATATATGTAATACACATGCATATATGTAATACACATGCATATATGTAATACACATGCATATATGTAATACACTTGCATATATGTAATACACTTGCATATATGTAATACACATGCATATATGTAATACACATGCATATATGTAATACACATGCATATATTATGTAATACACACGCGCAGGTAATACACATACACATGTAATCGGCATACACGCGTGATTTCATACTTCTCAATCTGGTCTGCTGCTTACGCATTGAGGTATTTTGAGTACGAGGTTGGTTTTGTGAGCATCGTATGACCTAAAAATTTAACAGTGAAATTTAATAAATGTCCGATTGTATTGAATGTAAATAAAGGGTTTGGTAGATGCTTAAAACATTGTCTGTGAATAACTGAGAAACACGGCAACCGGAAAGTTTGGGATTAGTTCATGTCGAGAGGTTAGAGAAGTTTGTTCTTGTCACAGATTAACTTTAATCTCTACACAAATTGCCTACTAACAATGATAAATAACCTTCCGATAGTAGCCGGTGTTTACATTCAACGTATCTCACAATACACATTATAATAGGTCTACACAGTTTATCAATGACTGAAAACTCAACTGATATTCTCAGCTAGTGAGTGTGGGAAATCACATACTTTATGTCATGATCTGTATCCATGTTTTGATGTCGCGAAGAAAATTGAATTCAATTATAGATTTGCGGGGAGGTTAGCGACAAATCGATTAAACCCAATGGATTATGTTCAACGTTTCACCATATCTTTACGTTGCTTTGTTTGACCACCAACAATTTCATTTTCACTGATGAAAACGACCCAGCCAGAATCCCTTTTGGAAAATAACAGGTATAACGAAATGCCGATACATGTATTATGTCTTGTCTTCAAATGTGATAATAAATAGCCATGCCAGAGGTATTTCGACATTGTCATTAAAACATGAAAAACAAATCGGCAGATTATACAAATATGTGCATCATCATAAGCACAACCCTACTAATAACATAATCGAAAAGTGTTAAATATTAACTTATTACAGACGTAGTAGCCTTCGCTTTCCATACAAAACAAATCCAATTGATTATAACACGACACTAGGTAAAAAGATATTCCAGCCCCTCCCCACCGCTTTTTCAAAGCTACTTACAAATTCGTCTTAACAAAGTCTTGTGTCGATTTCATAACGTTAGCTACTATAGCGGTAATGTGAAAAGTCTATGAAGGTAACATTACATACAGAAGTCAACTGATTACAATTACTGGTGACATAGAGTTTATAAAAAGAAACTGACACTCAGTTGTGAATGATAAGTAAAGACATGTCCTGAAGAACAATAGTAAATATTATATATATAATTAGATATTGACACCAGCCATAACTAGCTATTGTTGTGTTTACTTAACTTCTTAACTTTAACTGTTTCATCTATCCATATAAGTAAGTATTTACTGTATCTTTCTATTATGTTTCCCCTCTACATTTGTTTTCTCTAATTCTCACATTTTCCTTTTTGTGATCTTAATAGCCTTCCCTCCCAACCTCTTAATATTCTCACCATCTTCACCATCTTTGTTCTCGTTATCTATTATAAAACGTATATTTCCCACCTCCAACATATACGCATTATAAGCGCAACAAATACCGATTATATATTGTGATTATAAAAATTATTATAAAAATAGCATTGTAATGAAAGTTCCCAAACTAAAACCTGTATATCTCATATGCTGTTAGTCAAAATCTGATCAAGTGCTTTCTTGCTATAAGCGAGGCATCTATATAGAACAGAAAGAATGAACGGTGTCGGGGTATGATGTTAATATGGATATAATTCGGTGTTCACTTCATGTGTAGTAAACTTCAAGCTTACCCTCAATAGATCTAGTTTTAAACTCTTTCTTGATAAAGCACAACTATCTTATTTTGGATGTTAGATTGGATGGTATTAAAGAACCATTTTTTTTTTATTCAATGATTTTGAATTTAGGAAAAGGTGTATATGAGAATCTAGTATGTGTATTCATGCTGAAATCTCGTTATCCTTATATCTCTGGGTCTTATGTCTATTTAAAACAATCACTTGGCTTTTACTTGCTATCATTTCTTACAAAGAAAACATTTCATGGGACTGAGTTTATTTTACTTTAACTGTGCCTTGAGTATAGTAATTGTATTATAAATATGGAGAAACCATCAGATCCAGGGTCTGTTAAAACGTTATAGGGGTAATTAACAATACGGATATTTCACAAGGCAATAAAAAATTCTAGTTTATAACACCTCGTAAAACCCCTGCTGTACTTCTTCAAATTATCCCCTCATTTTCTCGCCTATTTCACATCTTTTTCATTCGATTAAAAACTCGTTAAAGCTGTTTTTACGGCGTTACTTTTAAAATTAGGTGGTTATTGTTTATTTGGTATACTTAGTCATTCAGAGATTAATGCGACTCTGACCTAATTAGATTTTTTTAAATTTTAAAGATGTGTTGGATTTATATGACAATTTAACAGTTTTTATTTAAAAAAAACCCAGTTAAATTTCAAAAAGAAAATTTCTTTATGATTAACAGAATTTTGTAAATTCTGGAAATTCTGCCATGGCTATCAATAAACAAAAACCAAAGTGAGTTATTTGGAAAATGTGCAGGCGATTTAGAATCCGAGTTCCATATCATGAAAAGAAATAATTTATCAACAGTTTTATATTTTTTGTTTCAGTAATGTATCATTCATCTCGATGAAGATATTTGGTAAATAAAAACATGTATTCTGGTTTATTGGTACACCACGTGCTTACAGGGGTTGTTAATAACACACGCGCTAGGGGCGGAGCTAAAACGACGACTACGAGTGGTTGAAAGTTGAAGTAGACCAGGCGTATCATATCCAACACGGTGTGAGTTTCTCTTAAAACACTCTCAAGTATCACTAAGTGAACATATCGTCAATAGTTGAAGTGTCCGAAACTAAAGGATCCGTTACATAAAAAATAACAACTCGTCGCCGTCGACGTCTGATATCGAACTCGCGATTGGCCGATATCGTTTGAACTAGTGAAGTTTTAGAGAGTGTTACAATAATCGAATTATCGATGACGTATATATAATTTGAAAATATTGGTACCGAGGTGTAAATCGTGTCTCGTTTATTGTCTTGTAATTAGTTGGTGTCTTTGGTAATTTCTATTGTTTGGGTAATTGGATTAATTAGCCATGGAGTTGTGGTATTAATTGATGTTTTAACTGGTCAACTCTATGTCTGACGGGACCCGACATGGTGTTAATACATGGAGATATAAGATTAAATAGATTTAAACTTGCTACTATTTATCAGTTGACGTCGACCAAACGTCGGATCAATACCAGTAACCGTATCCGCAATAACAATCGCTATCTATGATCGGTTTGTCTTGGAGTTAGGTCGGACGTGGATTATCTAGGATGTACTACACAGATGTGTTAAATATCATATTTGGACTGTGTGTCTTGTACCATACCTTACCGGCAGTTGATAGTGTTCGTTGGCTGTAAGTATACAAACTTTTATTTCCATTTCTATATTTAAATCAATCAAACGTGTGAGCATAAAACATGAACACAGAGTTTTATACCCTTACGATTGTGGTCACATAAACAAGGGTGTGCTGTCGTACAGATTTCTGCCGGTTCTTAACATGCTGCTGGAAGGTTATTAATGAAACATTTACCATTCTCGTTCATTCATCATCATTTGGAATATGTCATGTCATCACTCAACTTAATAACGCAAATTTTTACCAACTGAAACATTTGCAATCTGGAAACAGCATGTCGATGACTTCTTCTTAAAAGACATTTAAAAGATAGAGAGAGTGGTATAGCTTTATTTAAGACAGTCATCGTTTAAAATAGTTTATAACTATATTTGTGTTTCCATTCTAAACTAATACCATGTCCCCAGCACCAAAAAAGAACAGCACAAGAACGGATGGTGTACTACAATTTATTTATTTTGATTATTTTTAAAATAGATATCAATGGTATTCGAAAATTGTAAAAGTAAAAACCAATACTAGATATAATGCCCAGTGTACACATGGTTTGATTACCCAGTAGGAAATATTTATGTTCTCCTTCATTATAAAGTTATTAATCTAATTCATTCGTATCTCTTCATGATAAATGTGACATTTGGTCGCTGTACGTTAATGGATTTCAATTTTTAATTCATTTGTCGTAAAGATTTAGACTTATTCGTTTTAAACTCTCGTTTATATTATTCAGGGTATAGCAACCAACAAGTAATTATATAGTTAATACTCTCTAAGAGTGGGCTCTTATATATTTGAAACGGGGGTCGACCTGGAGTATTTATGATCTGATATGCTTAAATTTGGGATCCAATTTCAAGATATTAAACTTAAAATATCAGTCAAGAAAGTAAAAAGGATCGAATTTGTAATTTCCATACACCCTTGCCTAGCCATGCAAATAGATAGGAGTGAGGTATTTCACTCATTCACGGTTATTATTATTTCTTTAATCACCTAGCCCCCTTTACCTTTATAAAATGGCCCCCATAAATCACTCCCCTTTCTTTAATGTTGACATTTTAAGTTTCTAACGTCTGATTTTATCGTCTGCGTTAATCAAAGGATTTCTTCAGATATTTTGGGCGGACTGGAAGGTTGCGTTAACAGAAGGAAAGGTAATATTGGACGGAGGAAATAAACGCGTCTGCTAAAGTCCAACACGGATGCCTTCTTTGAATATGTTAATCGTATTTCTACGTGATTTCTTTCTACAGAACACAGATCTTTCAACGCGACTCATCATCTGGTACTGTTAGTTAATATTGGGGAAGTTACAGTTACATTTGACTCGGTGTAATGCGCATCACGTAAAATTAAGTACGAATCGCAGAAATGTTTCAGAAAGGCTACAAATAACGGAAAATCAGTTCGAAATTGTAACTTATTGCTCAAAGATTAACTGATTATTTTGGCGTGCCAATTTATTTGGTAACGTATGGAATGCGGGGGGACAATTTCGCCAGAACTTCTTTGTAGTATTTTTGACTGCAGACGAAAACGAGAAGCTGCAAAAACAAAGAGTTCTCGAGTTGAACTAAAGAATTGTGTTTAGTAATACATCTCAATAAGTGTGTAAACGTAGACTAAATACGACATTTCGTTCGATAGAAAAAAGGTTGGAAACTATCTGTTGTCTAGGCCGGCAAACTAATTCTCAGTTGATCGATGAGTATGAACTCGGTAGTTTGCATTTTCACATCTACCCGATACAAGCAGTTTTATCTTTTATCTCACATAACCTAATGCCACAATATATTAGCACAATATGCTAATAAAATATACATGTTTATCGTATTCAAGTTACTTTATCCCTACATTCATTTTGTTTCATCAATTCTGTTTAATGAAGCTTCCTCTATACATCAAAAATATCGACTATCAGTTTGATCAGAAGTTCTATACTCCTCATAAAGTTATAAACGCATTTTTAGTTTGTCCATGCCAATCACTTTTTTTTAAAGAAAATAATATGTATGCAGTTTAGGTTGTTACAAATATCAAAACATGGTCCTGAAAATAAATGCAAAGGCCACATATCATCAGACGACGGGGGTTTCCGCTGACCAAATAAAGAGTCAACTGAAATCTCCACATTAAGGAATTCACTGAACATAGAGTTGCTTCATAATTATGTAGATAACTGATAAACGACGTCAACTGAAACCAGTTTGTGTTTCATCAATAAATAATGACTTCCTGGAGTGCAGATTAGCATTGACACTGTTCAAGAAACAGTTAGTGGTATTTTAGACACATTAATTTAGTTATTAATATATTAACATGTTAATTGATGTTAAAGAGAATTTAAAGTATGTTTTTTTTTTATGTTTTTACCATTTCAGGGCTTTAGCTAAAATGACTTCAATAGGAAGCATCGACAGTGAAGACCATTGTGATTCCTTGTACGGGTTTGTTAAAAGACAAAAGAAATTATGTCGTAAAAATTTAGAGATTATGGACAATGTTAAAGTGGGCGCTCTTGTAGCCATAGAAGAATGCCAATCACAGTTTAAAAATAGACGCTGGAATTGTTCTACAGCGGATAATAAAAAACTTTTTGGAAATGTGATTTTAAAACAAGGTAAGTAAACAGGCTATTCCTGAAATAAAAATATTTAAAAAATGCATTTTGAAAAACATCTTGAAGAATTTAGAAACTTGAAATTCAATAATTGTATACTATTAACAACACATTTATGAATTTTATATCAATATTTGCCGTTTAATGCATTCAGTTCAATACTAGGATATTAAATTCTAACTAAATACTCTATATGCTTATTATTCACACTATATATCGGTTGTGTCATGAATTAGATCGAAAGGTCGACCTACACATTAAATAGTTATTTTAAAAACATTTTTTATTGAAGTTGTTTCAATTAAGATAGATAAATTTCAATATGTAAACACATCGACAACTACATGTTGATGTAATTGTTTCTAATTCAATATCTAATGAACATGGTGTATTTGAAATTACTTTATTTACGTAATTAGTACTCTTGTAATAACCTTATACACACGATAATGATCTGATTTGTTTTTTAAAATATATATGCAATACGTAGGCAATGTAAGGTTTTGTACGGTTTAATGTGTTTATTAGATATAAATCATAAAAAATGGTGTTGAAATACGAGAAACATAATGAAATATTCAATCATTCAATAAGGAAAAAAACGGATGTTGAAAAAGTCATGTAGGTTTCATGTCATTGAGTCTATCGCATTACCTATTCATAGGTTATTTAATATACCATGTTGTTATTTGCACGTGTCATGTCATATATCATTCTATATGGCTAATTATAACTGATGCTGCGTGTAACCGTTATGCTTAAATATATTACGTCATATATACATCTATTGTGTCTACTATCTCTTATAAATCTTTCAATACGCCTACAATCATGCAAAACATTTCTATAAATTGTGAGTGCTTTGTAGAGTGTTCTATTTTGGATGCCATTTAGACCAGCGTGCATTACATCATCGATGATGATGGTATCGGGCAACACAATTTGAATATACCACCCATTCATCACATTATATTAATATTTTCGAAAAACTGCATTTAGAAATAACGACAAATGTCTATATCTGTTACAAAACAACGAAAACATGTATTAGAATCAATACAGAGTTTTAGATTGAAAATCACAGGTCCCAAAAGTTCTGGCTTACAATTCCAAGCTTGCTGAGATAGGGCCCAACATTCTGGCTTACTATTAAGCATGCAGAGGAGGATAGACATTTATTAATTTTCAACAATAAATTGTACAAGATAAGACAAGATTATAGTGATATGAGTAGTAAGGTTTACTAGGGTTATGCTAACCAAAATTCCGTTTTCCATATTTCAGACCTCGTGCTGATAACGTCACTCAACACGCGCCATATTTCACGTGCTTTACAGATATAAACATTTCATTTACTTGTATATATATCTTTTACATATTGCAAGAGGCTTTTTTACGCTAGACGGTGTATATGATATTGTAATGCATATGAAAATTCCAGTTAGCTTCGTCTACTTAAAATGCTATAACCATCGTATAACTTTTACTCCACAAATAAATACATTCAAAATCTTTTGATTTACATTTAAAATCGATATATAACATTAACAAAATTAACAAAGAATAAATACCAAGACTTGCAGGTCTGAAATAATTAAAAAGAACTGATAGAACTATGTACAATAAATCCACACACTCATTTTATTTTATGTTTAAAATTTCATGTAAATATTTTTATAAATTCTTATAAATGTTTCCATACAGTTGAACTTTTGTTTATGCATTTATTTACTTATTACTGGCGAGTAACAGGTCTAACGACATGTACTAAGTTTAATAGTTCATATACCAGCCTGTTTTCACATCAAAAGATTTTTTCCCTTCATTTAATGATGAATAACTGACTTAGATTTAGGGTGGATTGTCAAGTCAAGAATTATTTGGGAGAAAAAAATTACCGAATGAAACTGTTTGGTCTACAATTATTAGAGACTTATTCTCTTTCATTTCTTTGAAGTACTAATTATGTGTTATTATAGCGTTGCAGTGACTAAATAATATACTGATAGACTATTTAGTTTACATGAAAAAATACCCCTTTTATCAATCATGTATAGGAAAGAGGTGATGTGAAAATGATCAAAATGACATTTTCTAGAACAACATACATTTAATCAAGAATTTAATAATAATATAATTTGGGATTAATTTTAGAATATTCGAGAAGGAATATGACGTACTTGTATTGTGGTATATTGTCCCTGTGATTTGTAGCATTTGAAACAGAAAATTATACTATGTTTTTATTTTTCATTCAATTTTTTTTCACCGGAAATGTAATGTTACTCAGTTTAATTTTCTATTATAAAATATTAAATTTCAATTCGCCCATTCAAGTCAATCAAAATGTAACAATTATTTTTTTCTTTTTTTTTCTGTCAATAGGTACAAGAGAAGCAGCGTTTGTACATGCCATATCGTCGGCTGGAGTTGCGCATTCTGTAACACGTGCTTGCAGTAGCGGTACACTTCAAAAATGTGGTTGTGATAGAACTGTACGGGGACGATCTAAAGAAGGATTTGAGTGGTCCGGTTGTTCGGATAACGTGGACTACGGGATGGCCTTTTCCAAGGCATTTGTCGATGCAAGAGAAAAAGGGAAGAAAAGAAAAAATTCGGGTCGAGCTTTGATGAACTTACATAACAATGAAGCTGGTAGGAAGGTAAGTTGGAGAATTTTCTTAACAAAAAAAGACAGATTTAATCAAAACTTTTATAGCCCAACTAAACCCTCTCCCACCAAAACAAATACATACTGCCTCACAGAAGTCACGTTTTATTTAACCCACAAGACAATGATGTTACCATTTTCATCTAAAAAATTATCATGCTCCTTAAGATAGATAAATTCCTGAAGGAAAACGTCACCGGTAACGCCTCTATGCTATTGTCTTCTTTTCGCGCATCATTGGTGATGATTCTGTTTTCCTATTCCCACATATCATGATTAATACATTGGATTCTTTATCCATAAAAGGAATAATTGGTTATTCATTTGAGAATATTCGGTCTATGACGTTTAGAGGATGGTCTCTCGCCGACCAAGATCAAAAAGAATCAAATAAATAGATAAAATAGGACGATCTGTATGATATGGGTGTAGCTTAGACTGTCATTAGAATATGAATAAAGCCAAATGAAAGTATTTAGCTCAAGATCCACACACTTTCGTCTTTTTTACAGGGTCGTAAATTTTTTTTAACCCTTTCGTTCCGTTTTATGGCTGTGGGAGAAATTTGTTTTTGAATAGGTTGACCCTGTTATATCTTTGTTAGTGTAGTTTATACAAATCCCGTCCAACAAAACGAACAGTTAAAAGTGGTAGAGTATTATTAGCATTGTTCACTTTACAAATCCCTAAAGCCCACGAAACGGTGAATCTTATAGAGAATGCTGGGTTAAGGTCTCTTGCTTATTTACCGTCATTTTATACTCGAATCTTCACCAAGCACGTTTTATAGTGTCATTAGTTTAAAGTTGGTGATGTTTAGGAGTCATGGTTCAGATCATCCACAATGGCTTGTTGCTCGTTCATCGTGCTCACCATCTAAAGATAGGGTTTAGGTCGCACCAAACAATTTGGTACCGTCTCCCTTCTAAAGCCACCAACAACAACACCACAAATCCCAATGTAGACATTTTAAGGCCGTTAAGGGTTGGTTTGTCAGAATCTTTTTGTCAAATGACTGAAAAGGTCTTGAACTTGGTCATACGGTTTTGCGATCTCATCAACCTATACCTGCAACTCGCGATTATGCTCACGAGACTTGTCTCGGGGGTATCTTAATTGCTGTCTTGGACTAGTGCATGGATAATTCAAATAACCACTAAAGGAAAAAAACACAAACTATTCCTGCGTGTCACGGCCCATTTGTTTAGTGCTTTAAAACAAACTGATTTTGTTCTAATAGTTACTTGCAAGTTCCCGAGAAAATGTTAACATTAATATAGCGTTACTACTAAGTTAACGTCGTAAACACAAGATATAGATCATAGTAACATCAGACATTAGTTCTCAATTAACACTAGTATGATTGATGGTCTTCTCTGTTTGATAAACAAATATAAAGTTGATTTAATTTCTAACAGTATTTTTTATAAACAATGATGCAGAACATGTTGATGCCGTGTCTGGGTTAGATGTTATAAGACCTACATCGTATTTTACTCTATATTACCCTATCGTGACTCTCTTATCAGTCGTAACTAAGGTACGCAATTAGTTTTATTTCAATAGTCGAGGTAATTTGGTAAATATCTGTGACATAATCAGAGCTGTTTATTTTAACAATATTGTGTTATAATTACTCTGAATGAATGATTACACTGCAGTGTATATAATGGCTCGTTTCAGAAAAGGGTGATATAAATGTCGTAATGGCCCTCATATACCTGTCATATACCTACCATATAGATGTGCTTGACACCTGAAAGATGATAGGAACTGTGATATAAGAAAACAATAGTACCTGAGATTTCCATGTCTATGTTACTTCTCACACATGATTTATTGTATGGAGTTCCCACGATTGGTTTAAGATACAGCACATTGCCTATACCCCATTTCACCTATATTTAACATCTACAATACGTTTTAAATATATCTGGCTGAATGCGTGGAATTTTAGCGACTCCATACTAATTTGTTTTTAATTTACTCTATATATCTTTTGCTCTCGTTTAGGAGTTTCTTTTAGTTTGTTTATCAAATCATCGAGGCATTTACTTTCTAATTTGCTCCCATTCAGGTGTGTTTTTTTTTATCTAAAGATATCATCGTATACCTACTCACAAAGCTAAATATATAGGCTATATCCACTGTTCTTAAAGTTCTTATTAAACTTTTTCTTTAAAACGACATTTTACATCTGTCTAAACGATTGTAAAACCGATTTATTTATGCATATCAGTACAAATAAACTCACGACATTTCAAATAAAAATGTATGAATTATTCATGAAATATAGTCTAGGCAACCTATTTGTCGTGTAATTCAACAGCATTAGAAAAATAACCCTTTTAAAGATATTATTTACGTTTATTTCCATGGCTATATGAAATTTAAGACGAATGTTGTAAAGCTTCGAGCGTTACAGCACACGGCATGTTGTAGTAACACGCCATGTTTACAAGTTTTACCGCCCCCTACCACCTTCCAATCTGACCACAAAGAACTTGTTTGTATCTCAAGTGACACTTTCATGCTCAATTAAGCTAACCTGACATATTGCCTACACGTATTGACAACAATAGCATGTCTGTTGAGGTAATCGTTAATTAGACCTTATAATATACCAGTAGCCTCGGGGTTAACCTTTTAAATTTTATTCGTTTCATTTTATTTGATAACTTCTGGTGTGCAGCTTTTTCTTGTAACACCCAATTCGTGGTTACTAAAAGATTTGAATTCCACTGTTCAAATTCAATTCTAAATATGAGTTCTTACAGGGATATGTAATGACTTTTGTGTCATAATAAGCTGGGTTGTTTTCGCGAATGCAAAACCATATTTTTTGACACTTGAACTAATGGTTCAGCCCATATCCCCAGAGCAGATTGTGGGTTGTCGTAAATCACCAATTGACACTTGGTGTTGTGGACAGTTCTTTGGACGTAAATAAGTTTATGGTTTATGATGTGCCATGATATCAGTATAATTTCTAGTGTTATCATTGTTCAACAACTCGACTTTACACACATATTTACTATTCTTTATTTATCAGCTCTTAAACCTGTCACCCTCTTATTGTCCCCCAAGTAATAATACCTTATTGACAGTGCCAAATTTTATGAGTGCCCTAATCCCCGTGGGGATAAACCCGTCATAATGGGGATAATTGAAACTGCCCATTCTTTGCATATGGAGTGAATAATTAGGTAAATTTGAGACTTTAGGTAGAGATTTATGACTTTTTAAGTAATTATCAGTCAACGTTAAAAGAATCAGGCAAGACTCCTCATTTCAAATATCAGAAAATTCATTCCGAAATTTGTTGTTGATAATACGAAGCAAATGTAAACTATATTTAAAAGAGAATATATAGCATTTGTTGACACCCTAGAATAAACTGTGTTTGTTTTCTAGTACGATCTTTGTAAATATCCTTTATTATACATCAAGGGAATCCGATGACATCTCGAGAGAATAAACGGCTTTCATTGAGTATCTTTAATTTAAAACAGGTTGTTTTTGTTGCAACCCCAGTTTTCGTGGCATGATACCCTGGGACCAGCTACTTGAGTTGTTCATGTCTGCTATATATATTTTATCTATCAGTAATGTCTGACAAGGGACTCATAGTCATCGATTGTCATTGATCAAAAGACAACACCTTAAATGATACTGGTTCTGCCCAGAGGGTTAAATAACACGCCCAAAACAAAATTGGAGAAAAACATGGGTATTGTTAATGGAAACGTTTTGATCCCCGGTGAATAGAAATGGGTTTATTAAACTCAACTTGAGAATATCAATTTGTTGTCATTATCATCGCATACAAAATCCCCTATCTTTGTTTGTAATGATATTTATATCATGAGTTATAGTATAAAACATTTTTAGGCTAACGAGGATGTTCAATCATCTTGGGTGTACGTTCGACCATGATGCGTCTCATTGAATTAAACAAACAATATAGAATTGTTTCACATGGCAATGAGGAAAACTGATAGTCCCTTCGCGCCATTCAACTCGTTCGTACAAAGCATATGTATATAATTGAATTGCCGACATTTTAAGATTTGATTGAGTAAGAAGACTGAGACAAGTTGAGATTTACCATGTGCTAAGTAAATATATTTTGTATATCTACAACATGTGTTAGAAGTCTTTGATACATGGAGTCTGGAAATGAACAAGTGCAACCTTCACCTTCATTGAGAATTACCAGAAATTCCAATATGTCTTGTGTTTTTATAATGAAGACCTACTGTTTTATAGAATGTGGTGGTCCTTTGATTTTTTTCATGCCATTCTCTATTAGGTTAACTTTTTTAACCACAAAATTGACCTATAACTTTATTTAGATAGATACTGGATAGAAAAGCTTCCCGTTAATTCACAAATTATAGTTGGTCAGGTTGTTTATTTGTTTAATTTGACATTTGTTTTGATGAAGGGCAACTGGTGGGGTGGGGGTAGAGGCTTGCTTGCTCTGAACCAAATGATGATCACTTCCCTTTTGAAACGACCGAGTAGATAATAAAGTTTTTAGGCATACATAAGATTAATACTCCATGTTTGAAAACATGTATACGTATATTAAGTCCTTGTTTGTCTATCGATCATTATCTTAAAACCCGCCTGATAATTGATCAGATGGTAATTAACCAATTGGCTAATTAAAGGAACCGCCAGTGATCGTTTTACCCAGAAGCTTAAGATATATTTAACCAAATCTATGGTCAAGCAGAACAGCAACCATCTGATTACTCATTGAAAACACTAAAGGCGTCTAAGGGGATCTAAAAAAAATAACACTGCTAACTCTATCCTTATGGGACGCTTCAGAATAAATAGATGGAAACTATTCCCAATTGATCCAATCAACCCCAATTTAACACCGCTCATTAAGGTATAAAATATCAGAAAAGTGTCTTTGATCTGATGTAATTGTGTAATTATGGTAGAGTTTCTTTAGATTGTGTAAGAATAGTGTGAAGG